TTCCCCCTTGTCCTCTCCCTCCCTGCCCTTGTCCCAAGCCCCTCCCCAGCTTTCCTGGAGCCCCTTCAGGCACTGGAAGCTGCTCTAAGGTCTCCCTGGAGCCTTCTCTTCTCCAGGCTGAACACCCCAACTCTCCCAGCCTGGCTCCAGAGCAGAGCTGCTCCAGTTATTATGGCAACAAGGAAGTAAGAGGCAGAAAAACCACCCAAGAAATCCACCTGCCTTGCCTGAGGTCAGGAGGCACCTTCTGTGCCCAGCTGCAGACAGACCTGCATGCAGGGAGCTGGGAGCAGCACCAGGAGAGCTGAGTCCTTCAGGGATGTGACCAAGAGCAGGGTTATTCAGCAGCCTTTGAGAGCAGCCCGGGGTGGCACATGCCCAACCCCAGGAGCAGATGCTGACCAACAAGCTCTCCAAGGAGGAACAATTCCTTTTGTCTGGTTCTTAGAAATCAGCAGCACTGAGAACAAACTCACCAAACCCCAGTGAAGCTTCACTGGTTTTTCTAACCAGCTCATGCCATGGTGCCCTGTCTCCTTCACTGTGTTTCTTCCCCCACCAGAGAGATCAATGAATTAATCCGGGAGCAGAAATGTTCTTGGAACTGGGAAATGACAACTGGCAGGTGGTGCCCAGCACAGCCCTGCAGATCCCCACCAGTGAGGCTCACAACAAGGTGTGGCACGTGGAGAGATGCAGCTCATCCAGAGCTCACAGCTCAGCTGGGAAAGTCATGGGATGTGGCAAAATTCATCCAGAAAATGATCCCTTTGGAGAAGCAGCACAGATCTGGATTAATCCCTTTTGGTCAGGGCCACAGGACTGAAAGGACATGTCAGCTCATCCAGCTACACAGTGAGCTGGGCTAGAAGGGGCCCCTCGAGTGGTCTCTAGTCCAAGCCCCACCCAAAGCACCCAGACCAGGGAGCTCACAGCCTTGCTCAGTTGAGTCTCCAGGGATGGAGATCCCACAGAGACCTTAAAGATCATCTAGATCCAACCCCCCTGCATGGGCAGGGACACCTCCCACCAGCCCAGGCTGCTCCAAGCCCCATCCAACCTGCCCTTCAACACTGCCAGGGATGGGGCAGCCACAGCTTCCCTGGGCAACCTGAGCCAGGCTCTCACCACTCTCACAATGAAGAATTTCCTCCTCATGTCTCACCTAAATCTCCCCTCTCCCAGTTTTAATCCATTCCCCCTTGTCCTCTCCCTCCCTGCCCTTGTCCCAAGCCCCTCCCCAGCTTTCCTGGAGCCCCTTCAGGCACTGGAAGCTGCTCTCAGGTCTCCCTGGAGCCTTCTCTTCTCCAGGCTGAACACCCCAACTCTCCCAGCCTGGCTCCAGAGCAGAGCTGCTCCAGTTATTATGGCAACAAGGAAGTAAGAGGCAGAAAAACCACCCAAGAAATCCACCTGCCTTGCCTGAGGTCAGGAGGCACCTTCTGTGCCCAGCTGCAGACAGACCTGCATGCAGGGAGCTGGGAGCAGCACCAGGAGAGCTGAGTCCTTCAGGGATGTGACCAAGAGCAGGGTTATTCAGCAGCCTTTGAGAGCAGCCCGGGGTGGCACATGCCCAACCCCAGGAGCAGATGCTGACCAACAAGCTCTCCAAGGAGGAACAATTCCTTTTGTCTGGTTCTTAGAAATCAGCAGCACTGAGAACAAACTCACCAAACCCCAGTGAAGCTTCACTGGTTTTTCTAACCAGCTCATGCCATGGTGCCCTGTCTCCTTCACTGTGTTTCTTCCCCCACCAGAGAGATCAATGAATTAATCCGGGAGCAGAAACGTTCTTGGAACTGGGAAATGACAACTGGCAGGTGGTGCCCAGCACAGCCCTGCAGATCCCCACCAGTGAGGCTCACAACAAGGTGTGGCACGTGGAGAGATGCAGCTCATCCAGAGCTCACAGCTCAGCTGGGAAAGTCATGGGATGTGGCAAAATTCATCCAGAAAATGATCCCTTTGGAGAAGCAGCACAGATCTGGATTAATCCCTTTTGGTCAGGGCCACAGGACTGAAAGGACATGTCAGCTCATCCAGCTACACAGTGAGCTGGGCTAGAAGGGGCCCCTCGAGTGGTCTCTAGTCCAAGCCCCACCCAAAGCACCCAGACCAGGGAGCTCACAGCCTTGCTCAGTTGAGTCTCCAGGGATGGAGATCCCACAGAGACCTTAAAGATCATCTAGATCCAACCCCCCTGCATGGGCAGGGACACCTCCCACCAGCCCAGGCTGCTCCAAGCCCCATCCAACCTGCCCTTCAACACTGCCAGGGATGGGGCAGCCACAGCTTCCCTGGGCAACCTGTGCCAGGGTCTCATCCCCCTCACACCAAACATTTTCTTCCTAATGTCTCATCTCAATCTCCCCTCCCCCAGTTTAAAGCCATTACTCCTCGTCCAATCACAATATGCCCTTATAAAAAAGTCCCTCCCCAGCTTTCCTGCAGGCCCCATTCAGGTACTGATATGTGACCAACCTCACCAGAGGGCAGTTTTTCCTTCCATCTATTCCCAGTTTCCCACACCAGGTCCTGGTCCAGCTCGAGGAGGAGGCACCAGCCCCACGCTGCTGCACAGGGGTGACCACACACAAAACAAACCTGTACCCAAAAACTGACTGCACAAAGAAGGAATGAGGTTGAACTGGGCCCAGGGCCAAGAAGGGGCTTCACCACAGCAAACAGGATGTGGCAGAGCAATTTGTTGGTTCCTTTTTTGACCCTGAGCAGCTAAAGGCCATCTCTGGGACAGCCTCAGCACTGCAACTTAAAGTAACTGATTTCAAATCATCCTCCAGCCCTCTCTGAGCTCTCAGCTAGATATGAAAGCCCAGCCAAGGTGAAGAGAGTAAGGACATGGTCCACAGCCTCCACCCATGGCCGGGGTGTTCTCCTTCCTCAGCCAGGGGTGCTGGTGCATGGGAAGCCATGGGTGGCTGGAGACAGAAGCAGCAAAGGTCACTAGGGCTTAGCCAGACTCACTTGGAGACAATCTCTGAGCTCTCTTGAGGGGAAACCTCAAGGCTCCACTTCCCTTTCTCAGCCTCAGCAAGCCCCTGCTGTGGGCAGTATCACACCAGCCAGGGGAACAGCACAGCACAGCAAGACCTGGGGAACGGCAGCCCAGCCCTGAGACACACACCCAAAGAGCTGCCCTGAGTGCTCCTGAGGTGTCCCTGGAGATGGATCTCCCAAGGGCTGGGATAATGCAGGGATGGGAAGGCTGATGCTGGGCCTGCACCTCAAGGAAAGATGACCTGGCAGCACCAGTTGGATTTTACTCTAACATGCTGGGACACTGGGGTTCTTCCCTGCTGCTGGCCAGACACCTTCATAAGTAGCAGCCCAGAAAATGAAATGCCCCCCAAGTCTCCAGCTGCTGCTGCAGACACTCACCCTCCTGGAGCTTGACATTCTGCAGGTAGAGAGGGTTCCTCAGCACATTGCAGCGCCCAGGCTCGTCCTCCTTGGTGAAGAGCAGCAGGTCAGAGTAGACAAAGAGGGTCACCTGGAAGCACAAGAGCAGCAAAGAAGCAGCTGTTAATCTCTTGACACTGTGACAGTGTCCTGGGAAAGGTCCTCTACCCTGGGGAGATACACCAACCATGACAGCCCAAGACCCCTTCCCAGAGGGGCTGGCTGCTGCTACACCCCTCAGGGTGCTCCCAGCAAGCTTCAGATGAGGCTCCTCCAGCTTGGCAGCCACCTACCAAGGCTTGTGGAGTCCTGTGACAAGAGGGATAAACCTGCCTGACAGTTTAAGGCCAGGCAAACACACCCTCTCTGCTCTTCTGTGTCACTTCCCATTTACATAAGTTATAAATCAGAGGAGGAGGAGGAGAAGGGAAGAAGCTGCCAACTAATCCCAGCAGGCTGTAAAAGTTGCAAACTAAAAGCAAAAGTGACCTCCCTAAGCACACTCAGGAAGGAGTTTCTCCCTGTTCTCAGCCTTTGCATGCCCTGTTTTGTTCCCTTTGAGAAAAGAGCAGTTTGGCTTTCACAAGGGCAGAACCCACAAGAGCAGCTGCAGGAACAAACCTGACACCTCCAAACCACACTGACGGGTGGAAAGCAAACACTGAGCCCAGTGCCTGCCCAGCTCCCTGCTTGAGCAGTGACTCAGGTGTCCTGGAAGCTGCACCAGAGCACTGAGAGTGCTCACAACTCAAAAGGTAGGTTTTGTTCTGCTTCTGGCTCTTGCCCAAGGTCCCTAGATCCATCAGTACCATCAGGGTGATTTTTAAAAGAAGAAGAATGAGCTCCTGCACTGGACTGGAGATCCCTGACCCAGAAGCCTGCTGGGGGTGAGGGGCTTGGTGCCATCAGCCAAGCTTTGAGCCTGTCCTGCTCTCCTGCAGAAGTCAGCAGTAACACTCAGCAGACAGCAGGAAGCAGCTGCACTATTCCTGTGGGCCCCCTGGCTGCCACCCCCCTGCACACTCCCAGCCCCCCTGCACACTCCCACCC